GCCTGCTGAATCGTTGTGGTATCTCTCGCTCTGTCCTGGTGTATGTATCTTTCCTATATTTTTGTATCACTATCACAATTTCTTACTTGTTTATTTAAGCCTAGTTTAAGTGTGCCATATTGAGCGAACCTATTCACACTTGTCACTTTGGCGATTGTAGTGCTGTGCTACGAATAGCAAGGCTCATTGGCGATGCCGGCTAAGTTGACGGCGAAACGTCTTGGAATGTACCAACTACACGGTCCTACTTTGGAAATGATCATGCATACTATGGGCTTTGGACTATGTGCGTTCCTCTAGGTTTCCTTGACAATATGACCATGTTGCAAAATCAAGGTAAAATAACTCATATACAACTAAAGGAGACCGCGACCATACTAAAGGCCACACCATCTTGGTCTTTATGCCTTCAATTAATCCATATAAGTTATCTCAAAGGGTCAAGAGAATGAGGCTTGGCAAGCTTTAATGTAGACTCGAACATTTGAGGAGAGAAGACGCTAATGCCAAGGTTAGAGATATTGTAAAGGGAATAATATATCCTTCGAGTGGAGCTTATCAAGAGGGAATTTTTAACACGATGAAAACAATCAATGGTCGTATCTACGAGTAGGTTTTTGATCTACCTATGAACTCACCACTTCAATTTCTTCAGGACGATTTCTACATGAACAAGTTGAAGGAGGAATACAGGATCTCACCACTACTGAAGCTGTGATTTCGGAACGCAAATTGGAGAAAATTTGGAGATTTCTTAAGGTTTCTCAAAAATATTGATTAAAAAGTGAAACTCAAAATGAAGTTGGAGGAGAAAAGGATACCACCTTTCCTGGATGTTGGGCTGATTCGATCAAATAGAAACATAAAGAGGCGGTTCTTTAGAAAGAAATCTCACGCCGGAATAGGCATCAATTTCAAAGTTCGTCATAACTACTGAGTGAAGATCGAGGTGTGGATTATGATGCCTAAGACTGAAAGATGAAGAATTGTGGGAAAAGAGATTGATAAATTGATTCAAATGCGTCCCGGGAACTAATAGAAAACTATACAGGGCATGATGACCAAATGGCAAGGCGGGTATTATGAAAAAAATAATGTTGACAGGTGCACAAATGTTCTACTCACCAAAAAAGAGATGATACCAAGGCAGCGGACCATCTCCTCCATTTCTTTCAGTGTGGTCTCTTGTATTTCACACATCCCAACACGTAGGGCAAAGTCGCATAAAGGCCTATTAACCTCGGAAGCTGAGAGGAAGGACTTGCTCAATTTGGCAGGGGATATGCCGGGAGGACATATAAGCGTCAATACTAAACAAAATTACAAAATGAGAATGAAAAATAATGTGAAGCCAGTTATCTCAGCTATGGAATCTAAAGTGATGAAGCTATGGTTTTGTTAATAGTCTCCTCTAATAGTAAGAGGTTATTTGATCAAGTTTGCGCAATACTGAGGTGCCTACAGAGAAACTTCGAATAATATAATATTTATTACCTCCTCTGCCATCTAATACATCTATTATAACAGTATCGAACTGACGACGATAAACTTTTACAGACGTTCAACTTGTCCCGTAATTTGTATCGTCGATAGGGAGAGTCATAAATGGAAAGTGCTAAGATAAACCAAACCCATCCACAGATATGTCGTTGGAAGAGCATTTTTATCCATGCAGTGCCTCCTTACTAATCTCATAAGTACATATAAAGTTCACACAAATTTAACTTATATTACCAAGACTGACACACTCCGTAGGCATGGCAAAAATTGTAAAAAAGATGGCAAGCCAAATATAAAAAGGTAAAAAAGACCAAATTCAAAAATCAAGTCAAATAGTTGCAGTAGCAGACTATACGGCAAAAATTCTTAAAACTTAGGTTTTTCATAGATAATTTCAGGAATCATAATGGGATAACGATCACACCCGGTCGATATCTCACCGTGATCTCACCTGGATAAGAGCACGTAATTTGGAAATAAAGGATTCAATGAAATCAAATTAAAAAGTCCTTCCTTCAATGAATCACGAGTGACTCGAATGTCAATGCGCTGTAACATTATAGATAAAATATATATATCATATTTAGAAGAGCCGAATTGTCTATTAACCTGCACAAGTTGTCCCGTCAATTAGCGTCTCTTTACTAAATTCAACGAACTTGTTAAAATCGTCGTGCAGGAAATAATTGAAGTAATCAAGTCCGCCTGGCAGGATCAGACTACCAGTAACATCAATGGTAGTGGTGGAAGGTGGAACCAAAATGTCGGCACCAATATTTCTGAAAAAAGGAACATAATCAAAATTTTAGAAGTGGTATATGTCAAACGTAAATAGTAATGAACCCCCGATACTTGAATGGTGCTCTAGTGGCTAAAATATTACCTCTTGACGGAGCAGGGGTTTATTATAAATTAACGGAGTAAGTAACTTATTTAAATATTGATTTATATTTGTTTGTTTTGAGATATACTTATAGTATATATGCCAAAGCATAATCGATGCAGGCTGGTTGATGCAACCTTGATAAAATAAGAAGCCCAGATTTACTATAAGAATTCAGAACATATTGTTCTAGCCACCTTGCCCCATAATTTAACACCTGTCATTATATCTTCATCCTGGATCTGATTTCATGATTAGAAACTTCAGTACTAGATTTTGCTTCGAAGCGACCAGAAGATCAATCGCTATCGAAGTATGCCATTTGCGACTGCCTATTATTGGTGTGATTTCGAATAAAAGGAATAATGTGATACATTGCTATGCTTCTCAACAAGCTGTTTTCATCTAAAATGGACTTCAGATATGTATGCAATAGGTTGAGGTAAATTGCAAAGCAATTCATAGCAGAAATATGCAACTGGAGGAGAACAATAGAAAGAAGTTGTTTGATCTTGTTTTCGCAACTTGGTCATAGTGGTATGGAAACTTAGAGGGTGAAGGGGGATGAGAACGCCAGCGTGGAGTGTGGAGAGTTCTCATGAAAGCAGCTCAAAAGGGCATACCACACTAGATTTAAATAAACACGGAAAAAATCATGATAGTGAAAGCGTGATACGAGGATATAGGATTGGTGATTGGTCCGTGAGGGGAGAGATACCACAAATGTTTAGCACACATTTGGTCAAAGGATCAGCCTAACTTGTCTCTTTGACGAGTTGTAGTGTTGTGCTAAGAATGGCAAGACTCACTGACGATGTCTAATACGATGCTGGCGAAACGTCTGGGAATGTACCACTTCCACGGTCCTACTTTGGAAATGATCATGCATACAATGGACTCCTGACTAGGTGCGTTCCTCTAAGTCTTCCTACCAATATGGCCAAGTTGCGAAAACAAGGTCAAACAACTTTTTAGACGACGAAAGAAGACTGCGACCACACAAAAGGTCACACCATCTTGTTCTTCATATCTTCGATTAAAAAAATAATGCAAGTCATTTTTGGCTAACTTAAGTAAGATTATGAGCTAGCGGTTGAAAATTAGCACACATGTTATACTATACATTGTTTCTATAATGGATAAATTCATTAAAAGTTCTGTGCAATAAATTATAGCATATTTATATATCGTTTTA